AAAAAAAAAAAAAAGAAAGAAAAGAAAAAGAAAGACACAATTATGGCTCGTTCCCCCTATGCAGTCATCTTTGATTTCTGGATCTGGTTTACCCCTTTTCAGATATTATTTCAAAATTGATTTTCATAAAAAATATTTTTAGAAAACATAACGTGGGTAGCCTTGTGATAGAAATCTATTGAGTACTGTGCTTTCCTAGTGAACATTAAGAGATTTTGTCTTTTTATACTAAATTGCCTTGTAGAAAAAGTTTTTTTGGTACCACTTTGTCACTAGAAATATGCCTTACTAAGGGGGTAAGTTGGCCAGGTATGGTGGCTCATGCCTGTAATACTTTGTACTGGGGAGGCTGAGGTGTGTGGATTGCTTGAGCTTGGGAGTTTGAGACCAGCCTGAGCAAGGGGGAGACCTCGTCTCTAGTAAAAATAGAAAAATTAGCCAGGTGTTATGGTGGGCACCTGTAGTTTCAGCTACTTGGGAGGCTGAGGCAGGATGATCACTTGAGCCCAAGAGTTTGAGGTTACTATGATGATGCCACAGCACTTTAGCCTGGGTAACAGAGTGAGACTCTGTCTCAAAAAAAAAAAAAAAAAAAAGAGGGTAAGTCAATATTCTCTGTTATTTGTGAGTTGCAAATTGATATAAATGATGGATTCTGAGGTACTTTCTGAATTTTTTTGTCACTTTAAGGAAGTTCTGGCCATGGTGTTGGAAATTGACTTTGATTTCTGAGTTTGTATTTTATGACTGGGTAACTGCGGTGCTGATCAGAGGTGAACAACATGTTACAAAGGTATCTTTCAAAGACAACTTACAGACCAAAGTGCTGACCTGGCCAGATGCTCCTGCTGATCCTGCTATAGAATCATCTACTATTATTTGGACTCTACCAGTCATTAAACAACAGTTTTTTTATTGCAATAAAATATGCATAACATAAACTTTACCGTTGTAATCATTTTTAAGTGCGTGTCACAGTGGCATTAAGTACATTGATGTAGTTGTGCAACCATCACCACCATCTAGCTCACTGCCATAGCTCAGTGGTTAACACACAGGCCCTGCACACCAGGGGTGACGAGTTTGAGCCTCATCTGGGCCTGATAACAAACAAACAAACAAAAATCACCACTGTCCATCTCCAGTCTTCTTTTTACCTTACAGACCTGAAACGCCGTAAATTTTAAATATTAGCTCCCTATTCCTCCTCCCCTAGACCTTGGAAACCACCATTCTATGTTCCATCTCTTTGGTTTAGACTATTTTAGGTCCATCATGTAAGTGGAATCATGTTTTTGTCTTCTTTTTTTTTTTTTTTTTCAAGACAGTGTCTCACTCTGTTGATCAGGCTAGCATGCTGTGGTGTCAGCCTAGCTCACAGTAACCTCAAAGTCCTGGGTTCGAGCAATTCTCCTGACTACAGACATGTGCCACAATGTCTGGCTGATTTTTCTGTTTCTAGTAGAGATGGAGTCTCACTCTTGCTCAGGCTGGTCTCAAACTCCTAAGCAGAATGGATCCTCCTTCATCAGCCTTCCAAAGTGCTGGGATTTCAAGGCTGAGCCGCCTCTCTTGGCCAGTATTGGCCTTGAAACTGGCTTCCTTCACTTAGTATAACGTCTTCATCTCTGTTAGAGCACGTGCCAGAATTTCTTTCCTTTTTAAGGCTAAATAATAGTTCATTGCGTGTATAGCCCAGCGTTTTGCTTATCTCTTGATGATAGTTGAGTTGCTTCTACCTTTTGGCAATTGTAGATAACGCGGCTGTGAAAAGGGCTGCATCAACATCTCTGAGACCTTGCTTTCAGCTATTTTGCATGTATACCTCAAAGTGGAATTCCTAGATTATGTGAGAATCCTATTTTTAATTTTTTAAGAACCACTGGCCCTTTGTAAAAAAATTTTTCTATTATTTACCTATTTTAACATTTCTATATGTCTTATTTTCATTTGAATATTCTTGAAAGTGTCCACAGAGACAAAATATGACTAAAATATAGACGCTGACCTTCTGCTCATGAGGCCATTCTCAACCGCAGCCGCAGACATTCCCCGCATGGCACCAGCAGCACCGCGTGGGCTGGTGGACAGACTGCTAAGTTCCTTCAAAGCTCTGAGGTTTAGTGTTCAGTAATAATATAAAGAAAGTCTTTTTAAAAAATAAAAAAGATTTATTATACTATTCCTTCAACGTGCTCACTGTCTTCTCTGAATGTCTGGGGGAACGAGTGTCTTTCTAATTCATGGCCTCTTGTGGCAGCGTGTTCAGGGTTTTTATGTATTCAGAAAGAGTTTGAAGACCCTTGTGCTGTGTGCATTCATGTTAAACTGATTGTGTATAGTCACAAGTAAAGCAAAAATTTAAAAAAAAAAGCTCTTGAATTTGGGGGTAAAATGCCAACGAATTTAAGATGGTTTTGTGTCACCTCTGATAATCTGATGGTTCTTTTTGAGACAGAGGGTGAGGGTTGCTTGTTACCCATTTATGAAGGGGAGCACTTGAGGCTCCTTCCTGTGGGCTGCTGCCTCTGTCCCTCCAGCCCCAGGCTTCCCGCTCTGGTCTCTGGCTCCATCTCAGGGGCACCTGTTTTAAAAGGAAGGCAGCCTAGTATAGTGGAGGCCTCACTGTCCTGTCGTTCTTCACATATCTCTGTCATAGTTATATCTGGGGCCTTTTAGTCCAGCTTACAAAGAGCTGTTAAAAATGGAAAAGCCACAGTCCCAGAAAGCCCTCAAGAAACAAGTCTGGGTTGTATGACTTGCTGCAGGGCTCATATCATAGAAACCGCCAGTTAAAGCTTCTCCCTCTCTCCCTGTGCGCCAGGACCAGTGAGCATGGCAGCCGTGGAGTTTCCGGAGCAGGGGGCCGGGCAGTAGTAGCTGGTGTGTTCTCATTAGCCTCATGGGCACTGGGACCTCAGGTGATTCTCACAGGTCTCCTGACATGCTGCCTGACTCCGCTCCCAGATGTGATGTGTTTGGTTTTGGAGGTGAGGAAAGAAGAGAAAGATTGAGGTGTCTGTAGCTCCAAAGACCCGCGGCAAAATTATTTTGGAAGGAAAGTCGTTGGTGTCAGCCACCTTCATTTCCATTCCGGAATTCAGGGGAATTCTATAAGGCTGCTCCTGCCTCTGTGTCCTACCCTGGGAACCATCAGAAAAAAGATGAGAGAGAAAAGAACAAAAAGGGCCCCCGTGGTGGCCAGCAGTGGAGCTTATAGGAGTTCAAGGGTACACAGGGCCAGTCCAAGAAGCTGCACGCTCAGCAGTTTCCTCCAGAAGTGAAAGGCGTGTCCCTCGGGTGCCCACCAGTTCTCTGCTCGCTCTCACTGTGGCTTTTGCCATGGAGACAGAAGCCTGTGGGGTATAAACAGGTAATGACTCAGTGAACTTGGCGCCCTGCCAAGAAAGCCCAGGTTGTAAAATTTAGGAAAACAATCTCTTCTTGCACGGTCAGAGTGCTGGAATGCTCCTCCACCTCTCTGGTTGATCTGTTTTCACTTCCCTTTCCAGATAACGGTTTTAGAAAGGTGCCCTTGGGGTCATGAATGGGGTGAGCTGTGTGACTGCCTGTTAGTCATGATTGCTGTGTGTGGTCCTCCAGTAGGACTTAAGGACACAGGCAGAGCACCTCGGTGGGAGCAGGGAGGATGGGATGGTGCATTGTCGCCCCAGGCTCTGATTGGACAAGGTAGAACAGCCAGGCTGTGGGCGTCCTCCTGCTCAGCCTCACACCATGCAGAGGAGGACCTGGTCACAAGACGCTGGGAGGACAGTGACTGAGGGCTGGGAAGGGGCTGCCCAAAGAGAGAACAGAGGGTGGGACGGAGAGAGGAAATGAGTTGATTGGTCCTGACAATTTCAAACAGAAAATATCTGTCCTGAAGTTGGGAATAGTGAGATGAAAAAAGTGTATTTGGGTTATCTTTGGGGGGGTGATTGGAGAGGGGACAGGCTGAGGGCACTGGAGGGGACGTGGTCACAGCAGTACAGTAAACAGAAACTCGGCCTCCCACGATGTAAGCTCTTCCTGAGTGTGTGTAAAGGTGAGCAGTGGCTGCCCAGGGCCAGGTATCCTCAGCAGGACCCTCAGCCCCTGGGCCTGGCTGAGTCTGAACTCCCTCATCTATGAGGCTTGGCAGACCCTCTTCATCCTTCCCCCTGCCCAGATCCAGCTCCTGTCCAGCTGTTCACCTTGGGCTCCCACTAGGAACACCCAGGCTTGCTTGGCTTTATTCAACGGTCCATCTTCCTGATCCTAGCTTGAGTCTTCTTCTGCCTCACAGTCCTCTTGCTGATGGAGACAACTCTCGGGCTCCTGAAGCCCTGACATCCCCCACTGGCAAAGGAAGGCCCAAATCTCACCTACACAGCCCCCTGACCCTGAGCTTCTCAGTGACTGGCAGTGGGCTGTGCTCAGGCGGTTCTCAGGGGCAGGATGGACAAAGAGGATGGAGGAGGGGCCTTCTTGTAGGTGCTGCATTGTCGAAGCCCTGGC